TCTGCAGTCTCAGCCCTTTGTTTGGGTATGCATCTTTTTTTGGATTGTGTCAGATTTTGTATAGTCAAACAAATCAAATAAATGAAAAAATGCTGTTTTTTTTGGACATTCCATTAATTCCTATGGCCGGGTCAAGATGAATGTAATACTTGTGTGTGTAATGCTTTGTTTATTGCACCCACATAGAATCCTCAAATCGACTCAAATATTGTTGTGTGTGCTCCATGCTCAAGTGTGATAAAAAATTTAATTCGTAAATTCCATGCTTTTCCAGTGGCGGGTCACTTTAGATACTTTTTTTATAGCACCCACTTAAACTGCTCGAATTCACTCAAATGTTTTTTCATGTATTCCCGGTTCAAGTGTGACAAATGTAACAAAGTCTCATACCATAAAGATCAACGCTCGATTTTTAAAAAATGTTTAAAAATGAGTTTTGGGTCAAAATGACCCGAGGGACGGATGAGGGTTTTATTCCCGTCTGGATCTGCGAAGTCTGTTTTTCTCACACAACCTCTGTAATAATTCCAGAGCAAATGTTTTTCGGCAAACTCTGAGAAATCTAATCCTGTCTAAATGCGAACGTCTGTGTTTGCTGACGATATTCCCAAAGCGTTTCCACAAAAGAAAAACCCGTTGTGATTATTGTTAATGAACCATTCAAAAAGACGAGGTGCCACAAGCCCTTCCCTAAATTAACTTTTAATGAATTAACACTTAGTGAATCAACTTCTGACTTATTTAATGAACTTCAAGATATCATTGCTTTTAGTGACGTCTTGCTCTTAAAAGCAAGTTTTGTGTACCAGGCCTCTTAAATAAATACATAAAGATAAAGTGTCTTTGCTGCGAAAAGGCTTGACAAAATACCATAGAAGACTTAACTGAGAAGCAAGCACAGTCTGTGAGATACACCAAGAGATCTCACATACTACCTAAAATAGGCTACTTAAAGATAAAGCATCATGGCCTTCCCAGATTAGCTAAGTGGATTGACTTTTATTTGAATCTGCCTTCTATAAAGCATAAGAGCTGTTTAAAAGACACGTACCGCTTCGTACAGAAGGTCCAGGATAGAGAGGGAGGTAAAGTGTTTTTCAGTGCATATAGAAAACCTTTACACTAATATAGAAACTGAGAGAGACTCGGTGGCAGTGAAGAAATGTTTCGAAAGGTATCCAGACAAAGATATGATATGAAAGACTGATTCTCACAAAAAAATGACTTTGAGTTCAATGGACGATACTATCTACAAACTAAGAGTACCACAACGGGTAAGAAATTCACACCAGCGTATGTGAATATATATATATATGGGAATCTCAAAAGCAGCCAAGGCATTGGGAATTCAAAGAGATTTTGAGTTCAATTCAAGGTCAATTGGGAAGTCAATATAGAATAGTGGCAGCTTTGAGGAGGGCAGAAATTGGAAATATATGCGTGTGCATAATAAGATGAGCGGTATGAAAAGATGGTGAGGAGTGGAGGAACAGGAGTCTACAGAATTACACAATTTATTCCTTTGAACAGGAGGAATTGTGTTTATTTAATCAGATGCCCACAATGTGGAATGAGATACACAGGTGAATATATAATGTGATATATAATGATAATATATAGTGCCGCATTTTGAGAGGCACAGGGGTCAGGAACATAATCCAGGACTGGACATCCCTGCTTTACATTTTAAAGCGAGGACCGCAAACCCTGGATTATTTGACAATGACCGGCAGGTGTGTTGAAGCAGTCTGAACATCCAGTGATGGTCATTCATGTGAATCACGCCGTCAGGGTTTGCCCATTTTCCCCCCAAAATCAAAACGTGGATTGTGAATGTGCCACTCATTATACATGATATAAGCTCTCTTCACACAGCTTTTTCTTATTTGAAAAAGTAACTCATACATTTAATTTTAAATGTAAAAGTAATGTTACTTTACTAGTTACTTGAAAAAAAGTAATCTGATTACATCGCCGTCAAAGACAGCGTATTGATTATCATGCCATCAACAATATAACTAACCTGTTTCTATAAATATTTCTGGAACATTTTCCAGCATTGATTGTTGAATAAAAAGCCCTTTAAATGCTTGTGACATTAACATTTAAGTAACATCTTCTTAAGCCAGGATGTTTCATTTCTCCTTTCTTATATGGTGGTGATTAAAAGTAAAGTGAAAAACTGTGTTTCTATCTTATTTTTTATAACAAATGATATATAGCAGCAGTCTTCAGCCTCTTTGAGTGAGGGCTACTTGTTTGATATATTCTCTCTCTCTCTCTCTCTCTCTCTCTCTCTCTCTCTCTCTCTGTCTCTCTCTCTCTGGTCTTCAGCCTCTTTGAGTGAGGGCTACTTGTTTGATATATTCTCTCTCTCACACTCTCTCTCTCTCTCTCTCTCTCTCTCTCTCTACAGCTGCGCATCACAGACATACAGTACAGTTTAATGCATATTAAAATAGAAAAATGTTATTTTACACCATAAAAATATTTCACAATATACATTTTTTTCCTGTATTTTTGATCAAATAAATGCATGCTTGGTGAGCAGAAGAGACTCCTGTAAAAACATTACAAATTGTTCTGATCCCAATCTTTTGACCGGCAGTGTGTATATATATATATATAGAGAGAGAGAGAGAGAGAGAGAGAGAGAGAGAGAGAGAGAGAGAGAGATTTCCTCTGAAGGAGGGGCTCTGCTGCTGTAATCTGAGGAGAGGCGTGACGTCAGCGGCGCGTCATCATCAGCTGCTGTAATCAGCCTACGCGCGCGCGGTGATTCCCAGCGTCTCTCTCTGCATCGCGTCCACTGTTCCTCCATCACGGCCAGGCGTTAGGACACAAACAGCTCGAGTCCGCTCGGAATCATGTCTGTCGCGGGACTGAAGAAGCAGTTCCACAAAGCCACTCAGGTAAGCCTGGACGCGGCGGTGAGGTCACGCGGGTTTGCTGCAGTGCTACAGCGCTCTGAATCCTAATGCGCATCCTCACGCGGAACACTGTGTTCTGCATTACCCACAGCCCAGCGCTCGCGCCAGCCACTGAATCAATGCATGCTCACTGCTTTTTCGTGAGGTGTTTATTAGCACCGATGAAATGAAAACGCGTGAACATTAATATTTAAGATGCCTAGATGAAAGTTGTTACATAATAGCTCCTATCCTTAAATTGACCTGGATGCCCTCTAAAGCAGTCTGATCCTGTGACACTTCAAATCCATGATGCTCTTAGCACCACTCGTGCTTTAGAGTCCAATAGCCTATTGGAATGCCATTTAGGTTTCTATTTAAATATTTTTCAATTATTGTAATATATATCTTTAAAATATATCAAGTCAGTGCATTGCATATTGGGCCTTACATTCTGTTTAGACTAAATCATAAAGGATTTTCATATGTGTGTATACTGTGTGTGTGTGTGTGTGTGTGTGTGTGTGTGTGTATATATATATGCTAATTTTATGTATTTATTTATTTCATATGAGAGCATAACACCAGATTTAATCGCTGGTTAAGCATGTCCTGGTGTCATCCAGGTCTTCATGTTATGTCCATCTAGTGTCCTTGCCTGAAGTGAACATTGAACACTGATGCTTTGTGCAGAAAAGATTTCGCAGGAATAATTGGTCGTTTTAAGGGTCATTTTGAAACCACTGCTCAGCATCCCTCTACTCAAACCTGTTCGTGATAACCTAAATCAGGTGTTTGATTCATTACGAACCCAAAAGGATCCAGGAACAAGTGCCTTTGCTGTGAATGAGACTGTGTGAGTTGTAAAGCTGGGCTTGCATCTCACTGCCTGACTTTAAACAACAGTCTGTGAGAGAGATTGTGATGAATGGTGGGCTCTGAGATCTCCAGCAGCCGCTGCTCTGGAGAACAGATGGTTCCTCACACACTGCTTCAGCTCACAGCGCTGCACTTCATACACAACCTTCATGCAGTCGTGACACCGTGTAGTGGCTGCTCTGTGAAATGCTGCTTTTCTCCCTTATTTACCTTCTCTCAGTTAAGTAGAGGCAGGTTTATCCTGTTTTGCCTGCAGTATTTATTCTTGGAAATTTGCTCATGTGGTGAATATTTGCCTATATGTGACCCTGGACCTCAAGGTCTTAAGTGTCAATATTTCTGAATAATTAAGCTTTCCATTGATGTATGGTTTGTTAGGATAGGACAATATTTGAAAATCTGGAATCTGAGGGTGCAAAAAAATCTAAATATTGAGAAAATCATCTTTAAAGTTGTTCAAATGAAGTTCTTAGCAATGCATATTACTAATCAAACATTAAGTTTTGATATATTTACGGTAGGAGATTTACTAAATATCTTCATGGAACATGATCTTTACTTAATATCCTAATGATTTTTGGCATAAAAGAGAAATGTATAATTGTGACCCATACAATGTATTGTTGGCTATTGCTACAAATATCCCCCAGCGACTCAACACTGCTTTTGTGCTGCAGGCTCACACACACACACACACACACACACACACACATATTAGATAGGCCTTGAGATGCAATAAGCTGTTTGTGCCCATGTAATTTGCAAGTGAAACACAAATAGTGGTTCATAACTGCTCAAGCTTTTTAACACTTGTTTTAGCACATCTCTTCTGTCTTGTGGGCCTTGAGATGCAATAAGCTGTTTGTGTAATGTGCCCATGTAATTTGCAAGTGAAACACAAATAGTGGTTCATAACTGCTCAAGCTTTTTAACACTTGTTTTAGCACATCTCTTCTGTCTTGTGCTTGTCATGCGTGGTAGTTACATAAAAGAGAGCTGAGATTTCACGGAAACTGTCTGCTCAACTTGTCATGTAGTTGTAACTAAATGCTCTGCTAATATGAAACCAGAACACAACAGAAAAATACAGAATAGAAATTTGCCTATGATGAAAAAAAAATAAGAACAGATTGACTGAATTAGGCCTATGATAACATTAAACAATACTACAATTCTGTGAAGTATTGCAGTTCGTCTGTTGGCAGCATTTGGCATATCTAATGAATGTGCATTCAAACTGTTCGTTCAGTTCAATCTCCGAGGTTAGGTCATTGATTAAGTAACACTGTCACGTGTATTCTGTTACTCCCCAGCACTGTGTACAGTATACAGTTATACAGATGTATTGTTTTGGAAATGTATGTTGCATGGTAAAATTAGTCTTTGGTTTGTTGTTTAAAATAGCTTGTAATACAAGTTGATGTATTGTACTTGGCAAGCCAGTGGCTTTAAAATGATCTTGGACGATGTATTTGTTGACTTTATCTTTGTGCAATCTGGGATCTTTTATTAAAACCCGAAGGATGAGAAATATACTCTCTTTTTTTTTCCTCTTATGAGTATTAAATATGGTTTATTCTTTTGGTGGATGCTATTGTGGTGGATTATACAGGTGCCGATTATGTTCGACATCATTGCTAAAAAAAAAAAAAATCTCTCAGTTTTCCTGATTTCTAACTATGATCAAGCAGAGCTGTGCCGTGTTTCTGAGCACCCCTGCATGGGCAGACATGAAGGCAGCAGGTTATACTGCTGGATAGAAGGGTTTTCTAGTGTTAAACATGAACGTGTATTCAGGACTTGATTTGCAGATTGGCAGAAAGTCCATGGGATGAGAAAGAAAGGTGTTGGACGTTACTGATGGCCTTGTGGATTGTTTTTAAAAGAGAATTGATCATTTGCTAGTTTGAAAGTGCTTTTATTCATAGCTATTTATATGAATAGATACTCTTGTTCATATGCATGTTTTTGTTGTTGTTGGTCCCTTATTGGATTTTATAAAAAATAATAATAATAAATTACAGCAACACCAAAAATAGTCCGAAATGGATTTTTATGAGCCGCCTTTGTGTTGATTATGTGGTAAATTTATGAATATTATATTTTTTTTCTTTGCAAAAACAACATTAATGTGAATAAATACATGCTCATGTTAAAAAGCCAACTCTGAGAGAAATTGCAGTTTTCTTGAGTCTGTCAAGCATTCGTGTAACTACTACACACTTCTGTTTGAGACTCTTCAGACCACTTTCTGAATGTATGCAATGCATCCATTATCAGAAGCACAACACAAACTGCTTGCATACCGTTTAATCACAGCCAAGAAGTTAATACTGCAGTTCTGGAAGAAAAGGAGGCTCCTACCGTCAAATTATGGCTTGGAGAGATGATTTCTACTTTACATAAGTTGGAATGAATTAGATGCTGTTAGAAGGGCAAATGTGAACAGTTTGACCAGATCTGGCACCCGTTTCTCTGTTGTCTTGATGGAAACCCTATGGACTAATGCATCATTTGTTAATGTAATGTTTTGATATTTCTTTCTCATACTTTACGATTTAATGCAAACAGGTCTGGTATGGAATGGTTTGTGATGTTTTTTTTTTCTCTCTCTCTTTTTTTCTAATTTTGATTGTATTCTTTGTACAGGTAAAAGAGACGAAAATGTAAGATTGCAAGTCCATCTTCAAAATCTTTGTCTTTCAATAACTTATTTGACAAAAAAAGACTCTTCAGACCAAACCATCAGCGAGAGCCGTAGAGCAGAACAAAGGTGTCTCTAGACTAATTCACGAAAGATTGGTGTTTCAGTCGACAGAAATACAGAAATAACATGTTTCTCAGGTCAGTCGGAGCACTCATGTGTGGACCGAACGTGCTTGGAAACATCGCCACGTTATTCTTTTATTGCAATAGGCTAGACGCAGCCATAATTAGTGATCCTTCATTTCTAATGGGCTTAATGGAGAAAGTGTGAATGGTGACATCATGTACAGGTTGTGTGACCTGCCCTCATGCTCAAAAACCATGAACGAATCCATGCATGCTAAAAGAAGATAAAATATGAAACCACATTAGATTCTCTTGAAATGAGGACAAACCAAACCCAGTTTGTGCTGACCACCATGTGCTTTGTGTATTTTTGACTGCCAAGAGCACCATCACAATTCCGAAACCATAACAGAAAGTATGTCATGTGAATAATTCTGCATATTACAGTGTTTGATGTTAAGTGTGTTTGTTTACTTGTGTATGATTAACATGTGGAACTGTTGCATTGCTGTTGATGTAAAATCTAAAGCTAAAGCACTACTTACTTAGACCGAATCATTCGATTTTTTTTCTAGAGTAAGCAAAGAAGAACATGTTCCAGACTTAGAAATAATAGCTTATAATGAATAGATGTCAGTACCAATGCATTTTAATAGCACTATGTGTACATGATTAGACCATTTAACACTCCGCTCACATTAAAGCCGTGTCACTTCAAGCACCCGCATATGCTTACAGTATTTTTTGGCAATATACCTACATGCCTAATATCTACATTAGACTCCGATTGGGTTCTTTAATGGATGCGCAGTTGTTTGGGTTTTGTCCAGTTGCAGGAGATTGTTTGTGGGTTAATGCAGTAACTGGGTAGAACATATGAAATACACTAACTAGTCTTCCAAATGAGAACATCACTAATCTCTAATGCCTGTGGTTTTCTCTTTCATGTCTTTGTAGATTTCAGGGGTAGTTCACCCAAAGATGCACACTCGGTCATCATTTACTCACCCTCAAGTTGTTCCAAACCTAGTTTGAGTTTCTTTCTTCTGTAGAACACAATAGAAGATATTTTGAAGAATGTTGGAAACCAAACAGTTGACGGTAGCCGTTGACTTCCATAGTCTGGGAAAGAAATACTGTGGAAGTCGATGGCTACCGTCAACTGTTCTACAGAAAAAAGAAACTCATACAGGTTCGGAGAAATTTAAAGGAGAGTAGATGATGACATAATTTTCGTTTTTGGGCGATCTGATCATTTAAACTCCCCTTTTCTATTAATAACAAACAAAATACAACATACTGACTCATGCCAGATTGGCCTGTGCTATATGTTGCTTTCCAAAACAGCATCT